GAGTACAACATGCCCAAACCCGTATTCCAATTGTTCACCCTGACCCTGAAGCTTCACCCTCGAAAGACCACTCTCATCCTCATCCTTTGCACCTCCTGAGGCTGATCCTGATCTGATGCAGCGCGGTGTTTACGGCTTGAGCGGCTTTTTGGCCGTCGCGTCGGAGCTGCGGATTTTATGGAGTCCGCCTTATCTCTCCAGATTGCAGCTCGTCCGGTGTGTATAAACAGGCAGTCATCGTCGTCATCGTCGTGGGAGTAGTAGTCATTAGTAGTCTGAGTAGTATTGGTGGTGCTGCTGGTACTGGTGATGGTGTTCGGGGCTCGTGCGCTTGAAGGTTGTTTCGGATAGTTTTTTTCGCTGGAGCGCAGGCATACACGACAGTTGTTGTTGCCGCGGTTGTTGCTCCACGGACCTGAGGTGGCAGGGTGCAGTCTCACCGTACATACATAAATACATACATACATGACAGGTGTTTTGGCTCGGTGGGACTGAGGTGGTGTGTTTTCGAGCTGGCGGCTTTCCGCAAAGCAAATCCTGCCGGAAGGACAGACTTGAACCTGCAAAGCCTTGAAGAGTCGGAAGGTGGACGATGGCCATGACATCTTGCCAACCCATCAACACTCCGTCGAAATTGACAGCAGCGCCTAACATAAGCTTCGGAAGAATAAAAGCAACACTTGCAGCGGAGCAGTCGGTCGTTCAACAGGTGTTTGTGTGGCCGTTCTCTCTTGCCCCCTCTCTGGAAGGATCGTCCTCAAGCCTTTGTTCGTCGAAACCGGTTTGCTCATCATTATCGTGGGCATCTATGGGCTCATAATCGTCGATGAGTGGCGGTTCGGCGACGCTGGTGTTTCGGCTGTGCTGGTTGTGCTCACCATGTTTCCCAGCTACATCTGGTTCCACATTCTCCGCAGATTGCTTAACGACCAGCATCACCTTGTAAATGAGTTGCGCACTTTCGATATCGAGACGGTCCACTGCCGCTCTGCGGAAGACACCGAGTACATCTATGCCGCCATTCACTCGTGGTATGGAAGCTCGAAAGCATTCACAGATCATGTCAGAGGGCCGCTGGCAGACGAGCTCACAAACTGCTTGTCAAGAACGGATCTTCCGGGCGCCTACTGGCTGATGATTGCTACACCATTTGTCACCTTCAACGTGGCAAGATCTTGGCTTTATGCTGAAGCACCCACCTCTACTCTGGACATGATCGTCGGCCATTGCCTAGCAAGATGCATTGGCAATAGTATCTTGAACGTTCTCTTTGTGCAGTTTGTGTTTCACGTTTGCCGTAGATTTGCGGCTTCTGCAGGGAGGTTGCTCGACTACGGCAAAACGTTCTTGATCTGGCTGTACCTGTCAGCGGTCCTCATGTGCATGTTCGCAATCGGTTCCATGGTGCTAAACCAGGAATCGCTGTCGCTGTCCATCTCGTACACTGCCGTCAACGCAGTTCTGTACTGCATTGTAAGCACGCGCAGCACGTGGAGGAAGTGGTTTTACTCACCTTCCCCTTGTGACCGAAGTGAGGGAACGTTTGAAGTCTAGAGTCTCCTTTTTGATACAAACCCAAACTCTTTCCACTTTTTCAAGCGACCATTTTCCCCACGTCAGACACTTCATTTAGGAGTTTGTCTGACGTGGTTGACGTCTCCCCCTCAGGGGAAACCTGACTCGGGCTTCGTCTCACGATGTCCTCGCGAGCTAAGCAGACATCGACATGCCCAATGCTGCTGCCTTCCGTCTTGACCGCCGCGGTACCGAAATTTATAAAGCCTGGTGAGGTCCGTGGAGATTATCCTTTCATAGGAGTTGTCTGGTCTGTAATGGAACACTCGTAGTCCATCGCTACATCCCACGGCATGTAAGAGTAGTTGCTGGTGTGACGAGGTACCAGGCGTCTTCAGGGTGCGAAAACCCGATGCTTGCTACGCCGCTACGCTGCTGCATGCTAAGATCATGCTAGCCAGCCGTGCTTTTCTAGTCTCCCAAACGGAGATCCTCCGTCCTAGACCTGGAGGTTTGCCACATGTGTGAACCGTACGCAACACTCCTCCGAATCGAGGTCCGCAGGGCTCTTGCAGCGCCGGGTTTAGGGTGGAGAGGATTGATGTGCAATATACGCATGTAAGCAGTATACATAATGTTCATAAATAAATATATATATATATATATGTATACACCCATATATACCGATATATACATACACATATACATACGAGTTAGGCAAGGAGGAGTATTGCGCTTGGACCATGTGTTGCAAGAAACAAGCAGGGAGACGGCAAGCGGATGCATACCTCACCTTGCAGTGGTTTTGAGGCTAGGACCAATCCTGCAAAATCCGAGTTTGGGTTGAGCCCCATGCTCCGACGGGCCCTTCAACAATCAAGCCTCAGCCCTAAAGACCATACAGCCAAAGCCCGGATCCTAAGCCCCGAATCCCAGAGTGACGGCCTGTACCGAGGCGCCTCTTGCTCAAAGGGGGTGGCTGACTCAGCTATGTGCAATGCCTCTTCCTCTTGTTCTGCAACTTCTGTAAGCTTCCACTATGCATAGTCTGATAACTGAGCGGTTGAGATTAAACCTGTGATGCATGCATATATGTGTATGTGTTTGTATGTATGTACGTACGCATGTTTGTATGTCTGTATGTGTATGTACACACATATCTGTGTATACAAATATATATATATATATATATATACACGCATATATATATATATATACAAGTTCATAAATAAACAACCAAACCTTATATATATGTACATATGTAGAGATATATGTGCATGTGACTCTATACATGTGTATGTATATGTACACGGACTTCCTGATCGGCTTAGGCTTGGTTTGGGGTGTTTCAAGATCTTGACCTGGGGGTGATGGCCTAGGCTTAAAGGCTTAGAAGCCCTGCATGCTTTACCCCAAACCCTATACCCTCACAATGGCTCCTCCCTGTAGGGAAGTTCTGCCAGAAACAGCAGTTGGAAAAGTTCCCGCAAAGGAAAACAACACACTACAAAATACCCTAAAGCCTAAACCGGGACCTTCCAGCAATTTGCTACTTCTGTCCAAGTCCAAGTCTTGCTTTGCAGGTGTACTCCTTGGACACTGCAGGATGCGTGCCATCAGGCAACAAGCTTCTTGCAATAGAGCCGTGGCAGTGGTTGTAAGAACCCAACATGTCGACCTTAGAATCTCAACCATGAGGCAGCAGGTTTTGGTCAAGACCGGGGCCCCGTGTAGTCATGGTAGCATCTAGTTAATCTAGTTCTGTGGATCAAAGGACACGGCATTCGGTAATGACAAGTCATATCCAACACACGCCTTCTCGTCGTCACCATCAACAACATTATAATCATCAGCCCTGCCAGCATCGTCAGCCTCGCCATCGTCATCACTAGCTGGCAATGGAGACACTACCCACAAGCCTTAGCAGAACTTACCCTGCCCTTCTGCCAGGATGCACCGCTGACCTCACCACCGTGGCCCAGATGGGAACATCTGTGCGCCCGACTCGCTTCCTGCCCAGAGCCCCATCCAAGCTCTTCCGCATCTCCAGCAGCCCAAGTCCCGCAATGCAACATCGCGAACTTGGGCAGCGGCAGTGATAGGACACTCTGTCTGCCAGCGCTCTGAGCATCCTTGGGAGAAGTGGGGATGCCGGTTCCCAACCTCAACGTCGGTCCACCCCAAGCTTGAGGCAACAAGTCCTAATCAGCTCTGAAACACGCTGCTTGGCCAGGAGCTGATACTTCCTCTCGTGCGGATCCTAGCTTTCTGCATTGGGCCAAACTGGTGGCCAGAGGTTCCCACGTGATCCCGGTTTGGGGATGGAGGTGTTCTTCTCAATTTGGAGCCCATTTCACTTGCTGCACCTGGATGATGTAAGATCCGGACCTTTAAGGCCTGACGCGTTGCTTCCGACCCCCGCTTCGGCGGATAATAGGTTGTTATTGCAAGCACAACTAAATAATTCGTGTATATATATATATATATGTATGTATAGCATATATATATATATATGTAAGAGAACCCTTTATGTATTATTTGACCCGTGGCCTCGTGTCGTTTCGTCTTTTAAAGGTTTTAAAAGTTTTGAAAGTTTTAAAGTTTTAAAACTTTAAAAGCTTTGGGCCTTTTAAAACTTTTAAAAGCTTGGAAACT